TACCATGTGGGCGTGGGTGCGGTACTATGTGTACGGTGGCCCGGTGGGTGGGGTGCTATGTTGGCAACTTGGCAGGGTGTGGCATTTATGCAGGCACGCCGGCACGGGCTCGGGGGTGGTACCGTGGGACTATGTGGGCTGGGTGGTGTGCTATGTGGGCTGAAGGTTTGTCAATGATACTAAAAAAAAATAAATTTGCACCATTTGGTCCATTTCCAATTCTGCATAGATATATAAAAAAAAAAAAAAAAAAAAAAAAAAACATTGCACCATCTGAATAGATATACAACCTCAGACAATACTCTCAAGACTCCCAAGAGTTCGAATTAGAGGCAACAACCAATCACAATAAGATACCTGCGACTCTGCGAGGCTACGAGGCTACGAGGATGCGAGGATGCAAGTCTGCGAGGGTAACAAAATAAAAGTACAACAAGCTGAAGTGAAGCAATTTTCTGAACGGCCTCTGCCTGCCCGACTATAGGCTCTCATGCTACGGGCCTAGGCCATATGGCCTCCCATCCTAGTGATAGCCCGGGCCTGCTTCTCGAACAACGCAGCCAACGCAAGTATCTGCTAAATCTCTCTCTCTCTCTCTCTATATATATATATATATATATATATATATATATCTCTCCCTCCCTCTCTCCCTATCTCTGAGTCTCCGTCTCTTCGCGGCCAAGCGATAACCCGTGCGTCTGTTGAAGAGTGGCCTCCATTTTGCGCAGCAACCGCTACGCCTGAGCTCGCCGATCTATGGGGGCAGGAATCATCGTCGATGGTGTGCCCTGTGCTCGCTGCCCTTGCGGCCCGAGTCGTATCCTCGGTCTCACTCGTTGCCCTCCTCCATCATCTCCATCTGCCGCCCGTGGTTTGGGTACGTAATCGGAGTCCCCTGCATCATCAGTGTCTGTGGTCTCTCCCGGGGCGACATCTGTGCTATCGTCGTGGACGATAAGTACACTGCCGCGTCTCTTCTGACCTGCCACTGCATTCCCTGTGCCCTCCCTGCCGACGATATCCGCCATCGTTGCATCCCTGCCTCAAACATCCAATGCATCGCCGTCAGGTGCAATCTCTCCGTCCTCGAGATGCAYAACGCCCGATCCTCTCTCTCGGGAACGCATATGTGAGGATGAACGTGACGCCTTCCTTGCCGAGGCCTTCTTCCTTGCCCGAGAAAGACTCGCCTTTGCGGCTCTCGTAGCATGGACATCAGACGTCTTCGTCGGCAAAGCACTCCCGTGTCGGTCCTCAAACTCGGCCATGGCGGTGTGCCGAGCACCATCCACACTCCCAATGGATCGTTTCCCCATAGACGGTGCAGATGGCCTACCAACATTCCGGACTCCCTGCTCATCCATCCCCCCAGTACTCTTCCCGCTGGCATAAAATACCACTGTCGGCAAAACAGTGGCTCTGTCGCGCCGTGCTGTCGCCGATGACCCAACCACAAGCTGTTCTGTCGCGTCTGCGCCACT